AGATTGAATCTTTTATTTCAGGATATCTGGAAATCCGTCAATAAAGACCATCAGTACTCCAATCCTCCAAGATTAGACAGAATGTCAGTAGTCAACTCGGAATGTCATTACCGATTGACCGTTTAAAGTCCGCTCTAAAGAGGCTGGATGTGCCCATGAAACTAAATTGAAGCTTGCATATGTTGACTAGATGATGAGCCAGTGTTTTGATGATGATGAGCCAGTTGTGAGCCGGCTAACTGCTTTATCGAGGGGGAGGGGCATTAGGATCAGCCCTACATTCGAGGGAGCATAAATCATCAGATAAAAGCTAATGAATGAATTGGCTAAACGGCGGGGAGGAGGGGATGACGTGTACGAGTGACAAATTAGAAGAGCCGCAAAGTGGCAATTGGCGAAGGGTAGGGGGGATTAGGTCCCAGCCAATCAGCATTAGCCTTTCGATCCCCCCCTCTTGTCTTCTTCTCCACGGTCCCTGCCTAACTTAGCAAGAGCTTTTTTTTTCTTTTTTTATCCCCGCTCATCCCATTTGTTAGCTTTACACCTGATTATACCCATTGCCAGAAACATTATCCTAAAACCAAGATGTTGCTTGTTTGATTAATTGTCTGTTAAATTAGCTATATAATGGATTTATGTTAAATACTTTTTAAATAAAACCTTAATAGCTGACATACATGAATGGCCGAAAAATCAAATACGGCAGAACTTACTCTTCTACGACACTCATTAGTTAAAAGAACCTAATATCAACGATTGATATTTGTTCTGAGAGCCAAATTTTATAGTTATAGTTTATTATATTCCATATACATAGTTATTAATTAACCATGGTCCTCTATAGCGACAGCTAACTTCTGATACATGTCCACAATCTTATTGGACTAAGGTGAGTGGCACCATTGCACCAATTGCACGGCACCATTTTAGGTATGTGTTCACTAAGACAAAAACAAAAAAGTTCATATTAACATATATCTCAAACTCATTTATTAAACAGATATAAAATGTTAAAGATTTATTATTTATTTACTACATTAAGACTGACTGTATAAAGTATAACGTGTTTCATACTAAATAACAGGTTTTAATCACCTGATAAACAAATGAATGATAAGCAATGACAGTAGCTGCTCATCTGTTTGTCTAGTTCTGTGTGTTTTAGTGTGAGTGAATACTGTGACATAGTTCAGTTTATGTTCAGTTTATCCTATCTTGATAAACTTGACCAAGTCTATATCCTTATAAAGGCAATCGAGTTCGGCATTTCTCCTTCCACCCTCAAATTCCACCCTCACTAACTGGACCAAAAATTCTTCTCAAGATTGACCTCTCAAAGATCAGCAATCTATTTTCATCTTGCTTGTTAAAGGCCCATGCTTTTGATCCATAAATTAAAACAGGGTGGACCAAGGTTTTGTAGAGAGTGATCTTGGTCCTGTTAGAGAGGTATCTGCTTCTAAAATGCTTTGCAAGGCCACAGTAGCGCCGTCTCGCAGTTGCTATCCTCGTGGTGACTTCTCCAGAGATGTCGTTTTCGAAATTATATGGTCCAGCCACAAAAGAACCGGACCCTGGCCCATCTCCTCCGACCCTCATATACTTGGTCTTAGCACTATTAATGTGTAGCCCAAGTTTCTTTGCTGCATCTTCTATGGCCAAGAACGATTTTCTTAATGCACGTTCCGATCTGGCGGCAGTATCAAAGTCGTCAGCGTATCCAAGAAGCTGAACGGTACTGTTAAGAAGGGTTGCGTGGAGTTGGATTCCAGACATACGCACTGCTTTCTCAGCTGCGAAGTTAAAAAGAAGACAGGCCAAAGCATCTCCCTGTCTTACACCGCAGTTAGTATGAAAGTCTTCTGAGAAGTTACTTCCTACTCGTACTGCACACTTCGAGCCAGACATCATTTTCATGAGACGTATCAGTTTAACTTAGATGTTCATTTCCAACAGGACCTGGAAATAAATATATCTCCGGCCGAGTTACACTATCGTAGGCGGCTTTAAAATCAACGAAGAGGTGATGGGTAACTGTTCTATACTCTTTGCATTTCTTCAGCATCAACCTCAGTGAGAACAGTTGGTCCAATGTGGACCTCCATCGCCTAAGTCCCGCTTGATATTTGTCTATCTCATTCTGGGCATGAGGAACTGGTCTCTCAAATAATATGTTAGACAGAACTTTATAAGCACATGTGACAGAACTTTATGGCATTTTCTCTTCCTCTCATATCTTCAATATGAGGTTATAGAGCTCCTTTCTTAGTTGCATTCCTCCATAGCGTATCAGCTCAGCTTCCAATTCCATCCAGTCCCGGAGCCTTGTTTTTCAGCTTCGCTGTGGCCGCTTCTATGTCTTCATCATCCGGTGGCTCGGCATCGTTGGGGAAGTCGTCCACTTCTCTGGCTATTTCCTCTTCAAAGTTCTCTCTTTGAAGCGTTCAGCTGAAGTGCCTTGCCCATCTCTTCAGAATATCCCCTTTCTCCGTCAACAGGTTTCCGTCCTCGTTCTTGCTCGTAGTTACTTTTGGTTTGAAGGCATTGAGGCCCTCATTCACTTTCTCAAAGAAGAGGCGAGTGTCATGAGATGTCCTGCAGTTTTCTACGTCCTTAATCTCGCAGTTCTCCCATGCTCTCTTCTTTCTCCTGTGCAATATTTTTTCCTCTCTTCTTTTATTTTGGTACCTCTCCTGTGTTTGGCGTATATGGCGCTGCATAGCCTTCTTATTTCACAAACTATAGAAAACAAAAATGTCTAAATCGGTTGTTTCTCTAAACTAATGTTTTTGTTTTCTTTTTGTGCCCGTTCAATCTGTTGTCGGTATACATGGACATATTTATAATCAACGATTACAGCAATCATGATGTAGTGATTACGATTGTAATCACTAAATATATTTTTCTTTTTTTTTCTATGAATCCAGTATAAAATTGGCGTGGTCATTAAGTTATATTTTCAGTTGTAATCATTAATTCCGATTTGGCCCATCTCTGGTCGGTTTTCAAGATAAATAAAAAAAAAAATTTCGGTAAGCGCTTGTATATCTTTTGGACTGTTTGTTTTTGCCCTAGAGATGTTGATTAATTAAATACTTCCTTGTACGTCCTTGAAATGTGTAAACTCGGTTTTATACTTTCAATAAGAAAACTCAAATTACTTACATTAGTATAAGTGAAACAACAAACCTGTTCTGCTCTAAGGAGTGTCCTTTAAAAAAATAACCTAACCTCAACAAATCCGATGTAGGGTGTTCAGCTGTAGGGTGCATACCAAACAAGAATATCCTCCATAACTAATCAATTCAATCCGAAATCCATAATACCCCTCCCTTATGGGACGAGCTGGTAACAAATGTAAAAAGACAAACAGGTCGGAAGAGGGTGGATTCGATGGTGGGGAAGATAAGTAGGGAATTAGCTAGAAGCGTGCGATCGGTTAATGTAGGCAATCTGTTAGCGGCATTTGGCGTTGGGACGATTAGATCGAGCGGGCCGTGAACAGCTTGGCGCCGCCATCTGTCCGCTCAGCGGCTGGTGTAATCTGGCAGGTCGCCGCATCCCGTCATCCTGCTGGAGGTGTCGCCAACCTCTATAATGGTTCAAGAGGTCCGGCTTAATAATGAACATTTTGAATTCTGGTGAGGTATAATTAATTAGTGAGAATTATAAAAAAGTGTAAAATCGATAAGATAAAGTGCATCTTCTGTAACAAAAAAAAAAAAAAAATATATATATATATATATATATTAGCTCTACACTATAATTCAAGAAAGGTTTTCAGGTTCAGTATTTTGTAAAGAAAAACTGTTTCAAGGCCAATGATTATTTTGGGAGGTGTTTGGGTCAAGATCTCGCTCAACCACAAGATTTTTCCTTTTTCATCTGTGAGTCTCCGGACCCCAGGGTCGATCGACAGCTGATGAAACAGAATAAATAATTACCTGTCATCAGCCGGATTTCAAATCTGGGGTCTTGAAATTAGGAGGTCACGACTTTACCCACTGAGTTACCCAAGAAGACTTAGATGACCTTTTTTTCTATTAACGTTATAGATCCTGTGGATCTTCTTTCGCCTTAATCAGTCCGATGCCTATCTTGGGCTATTGCTCTCCAGTTATCTGCATGCAGCTTGGTTTTATCTCTCTTTTTTCCATCTATTCTACTATTTTTTGGATCAATCTCAAGTTTTTTTTTTTTTTTTTTTTTGCACCTATACTCAGCAACATATATACATACCGTCGTTGTTAAATAAATATGTTGAATATAATAATTTATTACTTTTCAGAAAAGCACATTTGACAAGACATTATATAAAGCAGTATTGTTTTAAACAGTGTTGTAAGAGTGAAGTTATAGATTCCAATTGGAAATATCTAATAGGTTTGTCTTTTTTACTTATCTGTAGCAGTAAGTATAGTTTTGCCATCGATCTTGTGGGGAGGGATGGGCACCTCTACACTATAATGTAAAATTGGTCTGATTTATACGATTTTTTAAATATTTTTTTTGAAAATTTAATAAAATTTTGAAAAATATTACTACATACTATAGAGATATTACTGTCATTTTTTTAGAACTGGGAACCTAACTAAAGTCCGAATGAAAAATTGAAATAGTTAAATTCAAAAGTATATTGGTTCTTGCAATTCTTTATATGCATTAACGAAACTTGGTTAGTATTAGTAACTATTTGTCTTAATTTTTATTTTTAAAAAACGTTTTTGATTCATTTTTTTCACTAGCCTTGGTCTTGGTCTGGCAATAATTAGGCCGATTTTGTGCATCACTAAGTACGCATCTTCTATTAAAAAAATGTGGAAATTCGAATATATCAAATTTGTTGATTTCGCCTTTTTTTACAAAACAACAACGATATTCATTGGTTATTGTCCAACTTTTTTGGGAGAAATCGCTTTAGAGTTGAAGCATAGATGAACTGACACCCTAAAGAACGAGACGCGGCGGGGCAACAGACAGACCGACAGACAGGCTGAGGGATGACGGGGGCTGGAAGAGACAGATGGACTGAGCTGGAGCAGGTTAACATGACAATAGCGCCGGGGGACATGTGGTCGCCAGCGCGCTCTGTTTGTACAACCCTTACCTAATTGCCATCTATTATCGCCTCAATAACCCCTCCCTTCTATTTATATATATCCTCTCTTTATTTATTGCTCTGTGTTTTCTATTAGTCTCCTCTCCAATGCCCTCCAGAGGTTTGGCAGTTGGAGCAATTAGAATTAAATTGGATGGAAAGAGCCAATAAAAGAAACTATTTCGCAGATATCGCTATACAGTTTTATGTTTAGGGACGATTACTTGAAGATTTTTTGAAATAAAAAACGTTGAAAACTAGTTATGGTTTATAAAATGAAAAGTTTCAATTTCACTCGCTTACACACTGACAGTAAACTTAATAACATTAAAAAAAAATGGCGGATATGGAACAGCTGACTGAACAATAAACAGCTGAAAGAAGAGTTGGTGCCTTGATTATTTTAAGAAAGTCGACCTTATTAAGTTATTATTATTTTTTTTTTTAATTTCTTTATTGAGTATTATAACAATCTGTCTGTTGGACATTGGTTATAGTGAGGTAGGATGACATTCACTCTATATGTACAAAAAAATAAAATAAATAGAACAAAATAATAATCAAAAGTATATACAATAGACAATAAAATAAAATAACCTAAAAAATAAGAAAATTAAAAATAAGGAAAAAAAACACATGCATACCTATATACAATCAGGCGAGGGAACTCCAGAACCCTGCGCTACTCTCCCAACCGCGTCACTGGTATTAAAGCCAGCGGAGATTGGTCGAGAGCACAAGTTATTATTAAGTTGGTCCATGCGAATAATTCGATGAATATTTTGTTTAGTTAGGGAATAACAAAACAATATGAAAATAAGAAGATCCTATGTTTTATGTGAGAAATTAATTGTGTTTTCCTTAGTTGATGACAATATTTTCTAGTGCCTATTTTTCAAACTTTGATGGAAAAAGTAATATTCAAAATAAAGCCTCGATCATGAGATTTTCTAGTTTAAAAAAAAATCCTTTAAGAAATAATAAAGTATATATATCTGGCAGGAAAAAAAAAAGGGATAGTAGAAAAGTAAATGCAGTATCTTCGAAGAGGAAGAAATTATTAAGTATACCAAATCTAATTTGGACGGTATCATTTTTAATAATTGTCCGATTTTTACTATTATTTTTTGTTTTATATTGAATTTAATAATGTTTCTAATAATCATGGGTACAGTAAAGAAAAAAATTTATACTTTTTGAGTAATTTGCAAATAAAGTTTCTTTTCCTTCATAACTTTTTTTTAAAGAAATATGACTGTTTTTCGCGCGTAAAGGAGATGAAGACCTTTATAGTGAGTGGTCAATTACTGGGTTTGATGAAGAATTGACGCAGAATTAACGAAGAGTTGTTTTAATTTAGTTTTATAGTTTCTGCATCTTCGTTTCAGTTCAGTTCAATACCAAATTATCAGCACGGCCATTGTTTCACCCAGATTCAAATCTATTTCAGTACGCAATATCTTCCTAATTAAATGTTCCAATGATATATTAAACAGAACAGGTGAAAGAGAATCACTTTGTTTTAAACCCGAATGAACCTCAAACGTGTCGGATAAATACTATAATTATTTTATTATATAATTGTATTTTAACTAAGTACTAAGTAGTTGAAACAAGACTTTCGCGTATGTAAACAAAATTATGTATTTTTAAAGAAATGTAGATAAGACTCGTTCATTACCTGTAACCAAGCAGTTAAGGAGAGCAGATTCGATTACCCTAGCCGAATCTCTTATTTGTGTTTGACTACTTAGGGCAGACATTAGCGGTTTAGGTTGTACACAGGAAGACCACACTTAAGCTCCGATCGTCTTATCCAGCTGTTTGCTTCTCCACTTGAGGCACTGCCTGTGGTTCCAATGCTACCTGTATAGGAGAACAGAAATGGCAACAGGTCTCAAAACACTCTAGAAAATTTGCCAAGTTCAAATTAGAATTCAAAATCCCTAAAAAAACAATCGCAGAGAAACCAACAACATAAATTTTTGCAGGACACCTACTATTTGAGAGTACTGTAAGGATCCAGCATTCTAAATTAAAATCTTAAAAATATAATATGACTAATTAATTTAAACAGTCAATACTTTATATAAGTAATTTGCACATTTAACAAACTCAATTGTTTAAATGAAGATAAAATTAATATTTTTATTAAAATGTGTTACGGATTAACTCCATTGTGTTTATTACCATTAACTAGATTAGCGTAGAAAGGAAATCTTTACCTAAAGTACACCTAGATAGTAGAATCCTCAATAACCTCAATGAATAAACAACGATCGGAAATAGACCAGCGTATAATAAGTATAAACAGAGCTTTCTTTTCTCTTTCAAAGGTATTGAAATCCCGAAAAACATTAAGAAATCTCAAATTGAGGGTAGACAATGCTATGATAAAGCCAGTTCTAATATATGATTATGAGACTAAGACACTAACCAGCGCCATAGAAATAAAAAAAGTATTGAAAGATTTGAGAGAAAAATCCTCCGCGCGAGCTAACATCGAACTACTAATACATGGAGGGAAAGAATCAAGATAATATCAAATAATACATAGAGAAAATGTGTAAAAAAAAAACAATCAAAATAATACATAGAGAACTTCTTACAGGAACTAATCAATCAATATCTCACAATATATAGGCGAGGAGGTTTATTTATCTCGGAGCAATCGATCAGAAAGCCTCTGTACTACGATGAATACCTCAATAGTAGACCATGTAGAGGCCAAAAAGCAGATGGATAGATCGAATCAACAAACATGCAAAAGTGCTGCATGCGGAGGAGACTTAATGTTGCCCAGTTTGCAAGACCAAGACCAAGACCAGAACAGGTTAAAAAAAATAGCTTTTTTAAATAAAAATTAAGGTAAAATAGTTGCTAATACTTGACAATCTTAGTTACTATACGTTAATAATTGATATAACCAATACACTTTTGCATTTAACTCCTCTAATTTTTCATTCGAGCTTAGTTAGGTTTCTCCTATCTAAAAAATTACTGTAATATCTCTATAGTAATAAGCTAATAAGTAACTGCAACACTGTTGTGAGACTCTTGCGTATGACCAATACCATGGCCAAGACTGAGTTTGCAAGACCATGTCTCGTCTCGGTCTCACATTTGGGCAACACTAAGCCGACTGGTTAATGCTAGAGGAGATTCAAAGGATTTATAACAGTAAAAAAAAGGTCTTCTAAACCTCCCCCCGCCAATAAAAAAATTAAACACCATATAAATGTGTCTCGAAAATTCCCTGACAGGTAAAACTGTGTCACCATCAAAAGTTCTAACAGCGCGAGTTGCACCCAATGCCGACAATTGCTCGATTATACGACTTTTTGTTTTTCAACTGTTCAGATATAAACAGAGAGCTCATTTTTCCGGTCTTTGTTATTTCGACCCAAGGTACCAAAAATATTTGTTTCTGCTGAGAACTCGGATTTGCAAAATTTCATGATTGTAATATTTTCTATTATTCGAAATATTTCTTCTATAATTAAGAGAAAGTAAAAATCTATTCGAAGATAAATAGGCTATTTATAATTACATCACACACACTATAAAAATGTAATTCCAGCAATGATAATCACAATTTAGTTTGGGGTTAGAGGCTGTTTGAACAACTCGTTATTTTTTTGTTCATTGTAAAAAAAAAAAAACTAAGAAGAAAGAAGAGAAAATATGAAGTATATGACTAAGTGAGACGAAGGGGTAGAGAGGAGACCAAACGTGGATGGCAAACAGGGGGTCAGGTCCCCTTGTTTGTCCATCTGTCAGGAGGCACGAATTATAGCCTCGCTTAATTCTATAATTCCTGGGGTCCTTCTGTCTCCTAACGAGTTCTCTCTCCACTCTCTAAAGTCCCAATAGTCTATACCAACTGTATATATATATATATATAGACGATAACTGTTATAGCTCATCTAGTTTATCCACCTGCTTCAATGCTAATTGTCCGATTACTTTAGTGAATTAAGTAGAACGAGAGAGAAGTGGATCCAGGATTTAACCCTTTATAGGTCACTGATACTGATCTTAAACCGAATCCAAACCATAGTTTTTTACTATTTTAGGTGGTTTGGTGCTATAGCGAACTTCTGTGGGCTGCGCAGTTGGGCAAAAACATTTTTAAAAAACGCTGCAAATTATTTCACAATGGTTTATTATTTCCAAACAATTATACATCTAAAGTAACATTACCTTCCTAGTTACAAAGAAAAATAAATAAAAGGTGATTCCAATTAATGGACTAAACTTTTTTTTTTAATCATTAGTAGTATGCTAAAAAAAAATAGCATTACTTCAGTAACACATTCAAAATTTAAAAACAAAACAAAAGATAAAACCTTTGCAGTAGAAAATATCTAGAGACCATATCATTGCTCCAAATTGTCCGATTTTTTTTTTAGGAAATTCCATAAACTTTTAAATAACCATATACAATATCAACAAAAAAGTATAAACTTTTTGAGTTTTTCGGAATTTAATTTTATCATCCCTGGTAACTTTTTTTCCAGCTTCTTTTCGTTGTAGTATGTTATCTAGATAAATTTAAAGGGCGTCGAGAAAATGACTTTAGCGAAGTTTCATTGAAATCGGTACATTCGATTAGGAGCTACAGTCTATAGCAACGCAGGTTTTTTGGCCGCCATTTTGAAAGTAAAAGGCTGATAGTAATGTCGATGAAGGAGGCGGATGAACAAAAAAAAATTGTATTTGTTTTTCGAATTCTACGCATCCTGAAACGTGAAACCTCAAATTTTGAGAGGGGGTCAAGTTTTTGAATTTTTTGGTCGATCACAATGGTTGATTATTGAAAATAACAAACCAATACTCAAAAGTAAAATTGAGTATTAAAAACCTTTATTAGTGGTTTGAGGTCTTTGAATAGTTGAAGAATGTACTCTTGCTATATTTTTTCCCGAAAAGATATGTTGGGTGTGGTTTAAAAATGACCTATTGTAGCTTCTGAAAATGTGTGCGTTCCATTATTTTTAATTATAATTATATTGAGATTTTATTAACTTTTATCTCATATATTGGGGAAAATTAAAACATCAATAATCCATTCAACCTACTAAGATTTGTGGCAAACAGTTTTCTTGTTCGAAAATAGTGAGTGAAAAAGATTGTCGAATCTTTAAAAAAAAAAGATCCATTGACCTTCACTACGAATTAAGTAGTTTTTGTATAATCTAGAATCCATTCGATGAACTTCTGTATTTTTTTTTTTTTTGTGTGTTATTTCTTAATGATATTTACAACTGTATTATATAAATACATCTAGTAAATTTGAACATATGGATATAATGACATGAAAACACTTGCTGAGTAACTACCCAATGGTAGCACTCTAATAATATGTCTACATAAGGAGATCACTTGGCCATCTTCTTTTCAGACGCCTCGGAGGGTTATCAGGAATTGAAGAGGAAGCAAGGTTAGAAACGAGAGGGTTGGGATGGTTCTGAAGTTTATTATGGAATGATAGGTATCTGGATTGGGCCAGATCTGAAACAAAAGAAACATTAAGGTCATTATGGATGGTTTTATTTGTAACAAAGTAGGGAGCATTGAGGATTTTATGAAGGACTTTAGATTGTAAGGATTGGATTCGAGAGAAATTCGATGGTTAATAGAGCCCCATAGCTCAACTCCGTAAGTCCAAATAGGCATTATTATAGTCAAGTATATGAGTCTTTTGTAATTAATTGGAAGTTCAGGTCGTTTGTCTAGTAAGTGCTGAAGTAATCGGAATGGTCGAGCGGTTTCTTGTCGTTTCAGTGTAATATGAGAACTTCTGTATAAAATTACATTTGCAATATAGAAAAATTGTTTCTTCAGTGAATGTTTTCCGGGCGTCACACGAATGAAGCAACGAGTGCGGCGAGACCAAAGGAGGCATTATAAGGCCTCAAATCCTGGATATATATTTTTACTGTCCGTGCTTTTATCTCGAGACTTGTGTTGATTTTTTTTCTAAACATTACTATTCACCATTTTTTTTTAAAAAATGGCTGTCAATTATTAAATCAATTTCATACTCCGCAATACACAGTGTAAACGCGGCTGAAGATATCCTCCTTATGTTCCAGAACCACACCATACCCTCCTGGGGAAGACGAGGCGGCCGCGAACAGCCTTCACTTCCCAGCAGTTACTGGAGCTGGAAAAGCAGTTCCGGCAGAACAAGTACCTCTCCAGGCCAAAGAGATTCGAAGTCGCCACCTCTCTCATGCTCACCGAAACTCAGGTATTACATTATTATATTATATTTAGAATTAGTAATATAAAATATTAAATTCTGAACTTTACTATAAATATTAATATACATAGTATTAAGAACCGTCGCGTAAGTGTAACTGACACAGATGTTTTGGCCGCCATCTTGAAAGAAAAGAGCGGATGGTAATATCAAAGTTCCGATCATTCTCGGGTGCCCTTCGACATTGACAACAAATAACAATTTTAAAGTTTCAGAAACAAAGTCGAGGACGATAGGGGATTGGAGCCGAGAGTCTAGCGCGTATACAAAAGACGCTTTGCCTGGAAACTTGATGAACTGTAGAGCAGGGGTGCCCAGAAGGGCGTTTCTTGGCACAAGTGGCGCCATCAAAATTTTTAAGGGCGGCACATTTTGACTGGGTTTCGTATTTTTGAAGTGGGCACATTTCGACGGAGTTATGAATTTTTGGAATGAACAGTTTTAAACGAGGAAACAAGGAGAAAACATGTAACAGACCGCTGTAAGTTTAAATGTATATGATCTATAGATATAGATTTTTGAAATTCTATTTTAACTTACACTGTTGTAAAGAAGAAGAAAGCAATAAAATATCCTGGGTGGGCGAGGGAGAAGAGGGTATTGACCTTGCGGGGGAGCGCCCCTGCTGAAGATAACATGATAAATGTACTGCTATCGAAGGAGTTTTTAACTCTGGCATTAATCACCTGTTTTCTCTCGTGGTCCGAGAAAAACCCCTTGCCGGAAAGGTGAGAAAAAAAAGTCCGACAAACAGATTTTGATTATTCAATTTTCGGATTCTACATATCTTGAAACCTAAAACCTCAAATTTTGAAGGGAATAAACTTTTATTTTTTTGATCGATTAAAAGCAATCCTTATAGAAAATAATAAGCCAAAATCCTTTCCATCTATAAGTAATTAATAATACCACGTACTTTTATCATACGCTTATCCTGTAGTCTATCATAAATTTTGTTCATAATTTGAAAAGGAGATTTACACTAGATCTTTTATTTATAATATGTGCCAAGTATGATGGCCTTTCTATCCATCCCTGACCGCTGTTCGCAGGTGAAGATCTGGTTCCAGAACCGGAGGATGAAGTGGAAGAGGAGCAAGAAGGCGGCGGCGGAGGCCAAGGAGAAGGAGCCCTTAGAGGAGAAGCAGCCCAGAGACAGTCCCCACGGGACCTCGGAGCCCCTCTACCGCCCCTACGTAGCCTAGGGGGGGGGGGGCTCTTCCAAGGCCTAGGGCTCTACTGTATATAGATATATATATATATTTATTATCTCGGCTAAGGTGAGAATACTTAAGGGTGTGTTAGACCCTGATACGTAACAACCATTCCATGCGATCTGGAGAAGACAGAAATAGCTACATTTCAATGTGCAATAAATATATAAAAGGCGACTTAAATACTCAATCCACCATTACTACCTCTATGTACAAACTCAGTCTGGTTAAACCAACGTAGAAAATATTAAATTTATGTAAGTTTTGCAAGAATACAAAATAGCTCAAACATGTACCTAACTAATATATACCAGGAGAACTTTCCGTTTGATAGCTTTTCGGAGGAGATGGGGGTGTGGCTCGAGTCCATCGTGGTGTGACGCATACTTATATAAAATACATTTTAAATTAAGTATTGCTATTCAGTTTTGAAAATAGAAACGCTAGCATAAGCTAATAAGTATAAGATATCCAACAGTGTGAGCTAGGCGCTGAAGGCCATGACGTAACCATGTCACTCTCGTGACGTAGATCCATCTCTACCATTTTTCTTTAAAGCTAATTTTATTTGCAAATATGTATCAGAATAACTTAACACTTGTATTGTTACATTGACTTATAATGTTCAAACGACGGATAAAAATTTAAATTCAAGTATGTACCCAATTAGTAATGATATAATATGTTTTGAGCATATTTCAAATTATTGTGGTTTAATATATAATTCAAAACATTGATATTAATATAATGTATTCATTCTTAATACCGAGTAGTGCAAAGAGAGTGGGCACTTCTGAAATAAATAAAACCTCTAACATTGCTTAAATTTACATGAAAGAATTCTGTAGTTTACACAATTTAGTTTAAAATTAAATAAATAGACAATAATACCAATGTATGAAAAATCGCATCCGAAAGACGGCATCATTTTCATAATTCTCTCTTAAAAGTTCTTTGTTACTTTCATTAAAGTCCCTCTTCCTAAATCCGTAGTTTCTGTATGAACATCTAAAATGTAAAAAAAAAATTGAGTTATCCTCTTTTGTTAAAGTACAAGTCATTTAATCTTGGACAAACAATTTTGTAGAAATGAGTTATGAAATACATATTTCAGCTATGTTATATTCTTGTATGACTTAAGTCGTTCATAAAAATTAATCAATAGGAGACAATACATCTTACTTTATCTAGAATCCTTCAATGATAATTTATTCATTTTATTTGTTTTTCCTTCTGCTCTGTTCATTTACAATAATTATTCATATTAGAAACCGCCTGTTGATTTAAAATTCAACTCCTACTAAAAATATATTTGAATATTGGTTGTTCTTCCATTAAGAATTGAATAAACAATACCTTAAATTATGTTATATCAATTGTAAAAAAATCACTAGATTTCTTTTTTTTTATACTCTGGCATCACTCAATATTTCTAATTAAATATTACTAAATAATATACGTTAAATTCTCTCATTTGAATGATTAATTGATCACTGCCATTATTATTTTCAGCTTAATTATAATTATTTATAAATTTCTATCCCCTGATGCATTACGATATCAATCATGTATAATAGTATAGATAGGAAAGGGATTTAAATTGTTACCAATATTGTAAAAAAACAAAACAAATAAACTTTCTAAAATAAATAAGGAAAATGTCCGTTGTAATTATAATTCGAATTGCATGTAGCATAATTAGATCTTGTAAATATACAATTGTAGTGGTATTAATCAAAAAAATAAAATAAAATAAAAAATGTATTATTTTGGCAGGGTAGCAGCCGTAGAATATTTTTGTAAATAATTATGTAATATTGGTATTTATTACAAGGTTGGTTTCTTCCTTCACTTCATATTTCAATCTTAAATGATACTTAATTACGATTAAACAAAATATAACGAATTTTAAGAATAATGTGCTATATTGTAAAAAAAAAAAAGGTAACTTTTTCATTCATTCTTATTTTGAAATCTGGAAAAATAATATAAACATTAGAAGAAAAAGCATGAAATTAATTAAACTATTTACATGAGAAGTAGTTAGTCGAGGGTGCGGTCAAATAAATAAAAAAAATTAAAATATATAAATTATTTTAATTTTTGCCGACGTTTCGACCCACTTTGCAGGTCTTCTTCAGGGCGTAGGATGTGGCACTGCAGGAGGCAGTTCGGAGGTAACTGACGACCTGCAAAGTGGGTCGAAACGTCGGCAAAAATTAAAATAATTTATATATTTTAATTTTTTTTAATTTATTTGACCGCACCCTCGACTAACTCCTTCTCATATTATATCAACGGTCAACCATCTCTACATCATTATAAACTATTTACAATTCATTTATTGATAATATATTATGTATTTAATAATTTCATGTTATCGTTATTGTTTTGTTTTTATTTTGACGAACATTGTATTATATTTACTATGCAAGGAAGAAACCAACAAACCATTAAAAAATGTATATAGTAATTTATTTATTTTATTTTCTACGCCGTAATTCAGAGATTTTATCATCAGAGTATTATTGTAGTTTGAAGCTATTCAATGTGAACGTTAAATCTATTTTAAGAGGTTATAAAAAAATATTTTACTTCTTTATGTTATGTTTTTTTATCCATAATGTTTTCAGTATTTATACTTATGATTTTAAGTTTATTCATAATCTGTCGAAAATAACCTCTGAAATTTACAGTTAAAGACCTGTGGCTATTTTAATTTGTTTCAGATTAAGAATCATAGTTGTAGCTCAATTTTTTTATTTTTGCTTTATAATGAAGGAAAATATGGCTGATTTTTATTTTTATTCATAAACCTAAAAATATGAAATGTTTTTAAGCAAAAGTTTATTGGTTAATAATCAGCTCTGTTTAGCATTTATATATATCCATACGTATTGAAATTTATTTAAATTGTAGCAATTAAAAATATTGAAATAAGTATTACTAAAATTAAAAAATATTTTCTGCTTTGATAAAATATATTTTATTTATTAAATAATAATTCTTAACATGATTGATTTCTGAAAAACATTCGTGTGGTTAAATGTTTAATGTTGATACAAAGATTGAAGTATAGATATTTTATTTATTTATTTATTGTTTTAAATTTAATTAAATAACTGTTATTATTTTATAACCATTGTAAATATCGAATTTAGATAATAGATAAGAAAACGGAGAAAGATTGGTGTGTAGTTTGTCCCATCGCCTTTCTCAATTTGTACAAATTGTACTGTAATTGTAACTATAAGCGAATAAATAAAATTATTATTAAAATAATATTATAGAAAAAAAGTTTTTTTTTTTTTCATTTTATGCCTTATATAGTAATAAGTATTTAGACATATTTACAGAAACATGTGGTTTAGTTAGCATTATTATGTTAAACCAGGATAAGATATTTCAAAAAAACAAAAACAATAAACAGGATGTTTAGATATTTTCGTTTTCCAGAGAAACAAACATTTTATTTTTGAACGTTGGGAATAGCCTTAGCCCTAACCAATTATATAATTTTAAAAAGAAAAATGACAATGATAACGCCTCCTATATAGGAGATCATTAGAGAATCCAGAGTTTAATTTTGGGGAGAGATAGGTTCTTCAGCCCGATTGAATTTAAAAATATATATATACATATATAAAAGACAATTACTTAAAAAAATAAAGAAAGATATTAACTACTTATATGAAATGGTGTTTAAGTGATTATTGAAGTCCTATTAACTGTAATTACACGAACAATATTACTTCTAGAATTTTTAATTATTTTTTTCATAAGATATGATTATATTTTACCAATTAGTGGGAAGGGGCTTCAGTCCAAAATCTCCCCGCCTAGGAGAAGATAATTCATTTAAATCACAAAGGAACGTTTAAATTCAATATCAGTCAATCATCATACAACACAAACAGTAAACAAATGTCTAAAAGCAATAACTTCCTTTGATTTCTTTTGAAAAACTGACAGCAGATCGAACGGGTGCAAACAAGAAACAGAAACACTAGTAATACTTATAAGGAAACCACCGATTTAGACATTTGTATTTTTCATAGTTTATGAAATGTCTACACATATCTTTATGTTATAAATCAGAACTTGTGCTGAGAACCATAAATTTATTTGTATTTATTATGAAATATTTGTTGTATTCACGCACACGATTTTCCTTACAGGTTTGGTCGCAAAATCCAATCCCAGAATTCTTTGCTATATTTTAGTTTGATATTATTGATCCAATAAAGATTTTATTATTATATTTTTCATATTTATTCCCTACATAAAAGTTTATCTTCTTGTACAGTTTAATCAGGTTTTCAATAAGTATCGGAAATGTTCAGAAAGATGTTTAGTATGTGAGTGGGTTTCCATAGGAACTACTTTTTTAAATAAATAGGTACGAAAAACAATTAGTTGTTTATTTGCTTTTACTGATCTGTTGATAATTTTGTTTATAAATTTTATAGAGTATTTAGCCACTTAAACGTTAGCCCATTTGTAACATAGGAATTGGGGGATGAAACTCTACTTAACAAAAAAAGTAGCAACAAAATTTCTATGTTCGTTTGAAAATTAATCTCACAGAAAGACCAATTATCGGTGATTTGCCTATTGGTCACAATAAATTAGTCAAATTAAATTGCAATTTATTAAACGTTTCAAGGAAAACTTCAACCCTATCTTCAGAAATATATAAGTCTCCCAAAAAATTTGGGTTAGTCACAAAATTCAATACAATATGATTGGTTCAATGGTACTTAAATAAAATACTTTGGTATTGGCATCCAATATATGTATTTTCCAAAACATTTTACCATTATAAGCATTAGAACCAGGCTGCTCTTAGTAAGAATGCCTTACTGAGTAAAATTTATCGTTTTTGTTCTACAAATATATAAGATAAAACATAGAAAACAAGGTCGTATATCTCTAAAAAATCGATCCGAGAAAATCTCTCTCGCCCCTTATAGTATAAGATTAAATAAAGAAATAAATCTGTGAAAGAAATAAAGATAAAAAATACGGAAGATGG